TACTACGTTTAGATTTACCTTGTATAATTTTTACATTATATAACTAAGTAATAAATCTTTACACTCAGCTAAATATTTGGTACTGCAGATGCCCAAGCCTGTATAATCATATCACAGTAGTTATTCAGAGGCATTTGATCCATATATTGAGAAATTGGATTTAACAACGTAGATACATATTTTAATGTAGGTAATGTCTTGCTTCTGCCATATTTGGATTTAAAAGTTGATTATTTAATAATGCCAAATTTTGTTGCTCTAAATTTAAAATTATTTGTTGAGCATTATTTAGATCATCTTCAACTAGTTCATTGACAATTTCTTCTTTTCGATAATCTTCTAATGCCTGCTCATTTCGATATTTTTACTGGCATTTCAATAAATCTCGAGTTATATAGTCACATAAAAATTTATATGCTTGTCTTTCACGCCTTGCTCGATTTCGCTGGCTTCTAAGAAGAATACTAAGAACTTTTAGCTGTAGATATTCATCACGATAATAATTTCGTTCCAGTGTGATATCATCACGTTCTGTTTGCAAATCTGCAACAATTTGTTGCTGGGTATTATATTTGCACCGAATTTGTCTTGTGGTTCGTTTTATTTGGTTTTGTAAAATTTGTCTATCTTGAGGTGTTAAATATCCATCTATGGTATCAACTAATTCTAGGATTGTAGCCATTTCTAAGTCTTGATTATAAAGATCTGGAGAATTTGTATCAAAGTATTGCGTTTCATTATTTGCTTCATCTGAATTTTCACTATATGAGTTGTTTTCTTCTAATATTTCATCTAACATACGACTATGTCTTTGTCCTGGTTCTAATGCTCTCTCTAGTCCCTCTTCCAATCCTTGATAATGAGAATCATCTGTAGATGAACCTGACATAAAACTCCTCTCCATATCTGGCACTTCTAACATGATATGCAGATTTTGATTTGTCGCTTCAGCAGTCTGTAAAGCATTTTGTGTATTGTAAAGTTCATGCCTATCATGATAATGTAATAATCTTATAGCGAAATTTTGACAGTGTAGATCAGTAATACGCCTTTTTTGCCAGACTATTTGATTATTCCTGTCTGCAAGGTATTGTCGCAATGTTTGATTTTCATTACGAAGTTGCTCTATCGTATCAGTCATTTCTACTAACTGGTTATAGGTTTGTGGAGAATTTCTTCCTGATGTCGATAGCTCTTTTATTCTATTCTTGAGTTTTTTATCTCGGACATCAAACTCACCCAATTGATTTTCGCTAGTGGTGAGATCTTTCTCTTTTTGCCGGATTTCTTTTCTAGCTTGATACAGTGATTTTTTTAGGTTAGAGATTTCTTTTTGTAATTCATCCTTCTCTTGGCTGGAAAGTGAAAGAATACCTTCAAGTTCATTTTCCAAAAATTGGATTCTTTCCTCACGTATAGTTATCTGTTTTTCGAGAATGTAATTTATATGCTCATAATCCCAATTTGATTGTGCCAGTCGCTTGAGTTCTTCATGTAATTCTTGGTTAACTTGCCGTAATTCCTCCATGGTTATTTTTTTACAGATCATTAAATATACTCGAAAGGAATGGAACAAGAAACAAAGTCTCGAACCTCTGGTTCACCTGTAATTTATATTAATCCACAAAAGGCTCGTGATTTGGATAGAGAGATTGCTTTACAGAAGTTATATTATCGACCTGAGGGATACTATCGAACTGTGGAAAAAAATGCATAATGCATCACGTAAAGCTGGTTATAATTTTTCGTTAGCTGATATAAAAAACTGATTAAATAGACAAATCGCTTTTTTGGTACATAAACCTCGGCCAAAATTTATTCAGTATGCTTCTTTTAATAATATACAGAGGTTAAAATGAAATGCATCAATCTGATCATACTCCTATGCCTCATGATAAAATTGGCAATCGAGTTTTTAAATATAGGCTTGTGATAAAAGATGTTGCTACAAGATATCGTAAAAGTTGTGCATTAACTAATAAATCAGCTTCTACAGTTGCTAAAGCAATTAAAAAAATTTATAATGATTCTAATAACCCTCTTTCTTGGTCTAATGTTTTTAGTGTTGATAAAGGTACCGAATATTTAGCTGAGTGTAAAGATTTATTACTTAGTTATATAATGTAAAAATTATACAAGGTAAATCTAAACGTAGTA